ACCAGATCCACTTTTTGTTTATATACCTACTCCTCGGTGTTTTACGTATATAAGTTTAGTTGATAGCAAGTATGAAAGTATGAACCAAGAGTATTGTAGTGTCCACTTTGTTGCTTTTCTATAACTTTAACTGTAGTTCAATTTTTTTGTTGTTGACCAAGAGATCGTCAGAAAGAGTTTTGTCGAGATTGTTTTGTATTTTGTATTTTTTAATTTATTATATCTTATATATTGTTAAGTAATTTTAGTCTTTTATTTTTTTTGCAAAAAATATAAAAAAGACTACTATATAAATCTAATTATTTGTTTGCTATAGTACCGGATAGCAAGAAATATCTATTTTTTTTAAAAATACCAAATTAAGATTTATACTCAAATCTAATTGGCTATTTTTTGTATAACAAGATCCTGATTGATTAAAAATCTATAAAAACAATTTTTTTATATATTAAATGCCAAATTTTTGATTATATAGTAACTTTAGACTTAATAGCTTTTTAAATTTATAATAAAAATAAAAATCTATTATAACAGAATTGTGGCTTAGACTAAAAGCAACAAATCTGTAAGACAGATTTTTTTTAAATTTATTTATTTGTAAGTTATAAGCATTTTTATATTTATATATAAAAAGTAAATATTTTTTGCTGTCTAGTACTGTAATATTTTAAATATTAAAAGCTTTTTATATACAGTTGACTCTGGATATAATGAACCTTTCTATAACAAACTCTGGATATAACGAACTCAAAATTTTAAAAATTTCATAATAGTTCGGTATAAAAAAAGTTAGGTTTCTTAAGAAAACATAGTAATTTCTATAACGAACTTTTTTTTCTTTCTAGAACCATTGGTTCGTTATAGAAAGAGTTAACTGTACTTTATCGAAACTTGCGAATTTACAACTTTAATACTACTAGTAATTAGCTATAAAATAACAATATAGTTTATATTTACTATATATTAGCAATATATCTACTACTACTTACTACTATATTACTACTATTTTGCTATAATTTTACTACAATTTTATTAAAAATTTTTTTGTAAAACTACTATTTTACTATATTTTTACTATAATTTTACAAAAAAATTTTTTTAATTATAGTAAAAATATAATAAAATAGTAGTAAAATAGTAGTAATATAGTACAGTCAAACCTCCATAAATACAACATGTACAAACTAGCCTAAAACGTGTATTTAGAGAGGTTTGCGTTTAGAGAGAGCCAATCAAATTGCAACTTTTAATATTTGATCTGCAGACTTGTGTAACAAACTTAAATACTGACTTCTGATTGGCTACGTGCACTTCGGAAGGTTAGTATGATATAAAAATCTTTTGAGTGAATGTGTATTTGCAGAATATAGAACATGCATTTAGCACTAATGATTTCATACAGCCAAGACAAAAACATGCATTTAGGGAGGTATTGCATTTATAGAGGTTGCATTTAGAGAGGTCCGACTGTAGTAAGTAGTAATAAGCATATTGTTAATATATAGAATATAAAACTATAGTTTACTTGTATATCTTTTTTAATATATTATAGATATAAAACTTCAATTAATTTTTGTTCTAAACTTTAATATCTTTTTAACAAATTGTTTATTAGATTATTTACTTTTTTTAGCAAAATATAATATTTAATCTTTGCAAAGGTTTAATTATAATTTTGTCTAAGTTTACTATTTTATATTCTAATTTTGCTAATTTATTTGTTTTAATATTTTATTTATTATTATACCTTTTTATTTTAATTATAATTTTTTTTAGTTTTATTATATTTTATATACTTTTTAATAAATTATAGTTGCTTTCTTTTATTAACTGCTTGTTAAATTTATTTTTTTATTTTTAATTTTTGCTATAGTTACTATATTATTTATATAGATTTTATTGTTTTGTAATATAACAAGAAATATATACAAGTCACTCTCGTTATAGTGAAGTGATCCGTTCCATTAATGAAAATTTTTAAAAAATTCATTATATCGAGAGTTTTATTAGTAAATTCACTATATCGAGAGAATTTTATATAAACTGGCTTTAACTTAATTTCACTATATCACGATTTTAATTAGTCTTCACTATATCGAGAGTTCACTATAACGAGAGTGACTTGTATCAGATTTTTAAAACTCAGATTTTGTTAATAAGAGCTAGTTATAAATAACTTTTATCTAATATTACTTCTTTTTATTTATTTGAATCTAACTTAGTTCTATTTTATTTTAAATTATTTGTTTTTTTTGATTTTTGATAACAATTAATTTGTATAGAATACTAGAAAGTCTTGATATCTTTTTTAGCTTGTTTGATTTTTCTCTATAAGTTATACTTGAAAGATTGTGCTTATTTGTTGCTTCTGCGCAAAAGAAGAACTCGAAAACTATCTATTGTCAGGGTTGGGCAGCCGATGAATTTTACCGAACACCGGACATATAAATTTGTCCAGCGTCCATTGATCTATTAACACATATAGAGTAAAAATTGGCAGTATATTACCGTCCTAATTATTTGGTTTGCTTGACTCTGAGCGAAGGTTTCTTGTTTCAAAAAAAATTAGACAATTTTAGAAATTTAAATTTCATCGGACAACCCACCTATTGCCCAACCCTGTCTATTGCTATAGCCTATAATATTGACGCCCTAGCCCAAACTTCACTTAGTTTATTTACAAAATTCGATTTCCTTTTTTGGTTTGTCTTACTCGCGCCAATAGGTAAAATCCATGAAATTACGTAATAAACGTCAGTGCCCTAATCACCTAGTTATTTTTTTTAATTAAAAAAAAATATATAATTTTTAATATACTGTATGTATCAAAATTTTTTAAACTGGCTAACCCATATTTACAACATTTAATTGTTAGATCCAGCCATAGGACCCAATGCAGACCTCTAGGTTACTCACTCCAATATATTATAATCCCGCTAATACCTACTCTAATTACCCTAACCTAATGAAACTTAATATTTAAATTTGATCTAACGCAAATTTTAATTTAGCGCACAACATATATACATACAGACCGAAGTGAGCTAGTCCTATACATTTAACATGTTCAGCATCACTAATAAGATTATTTATTCGATGTATCAAAGTCTTATTGACAAGATCACGTGCGCACACCAAAACTTAGTCTGAACCGGTTAAGTGGTTCCCGGTTTTAATAACGATAAGTCAGTCCATCATATACATGTGGCCGAAATGTTTCGGCCATTTCGGCCACTTGACAAATGTTCAAAGCAAAGTTATCAATATTGTAAATGTGATAGCAATTAGGCCTCATATAGGTTAAACCAGATCCGCAGAGCCTTATGCAAGCCCTTTTGGTATTTCGGCAGGCTCTGAAATTTTCGGCAATCCGTATTTAATATACAGCCGAAACTACCGAAATATCAAAAGGTCTTGCCAAAATACCAAAAGGGCTTGCATAAGGTTCTGCGGATCTGATTAACCTAGATGAGGCCTAATTTTTATCACAAATTATTGATAACTTTGCTTTGAACATTTTGCCAAGTGGCCAAATGGCCAAAACATTTCGGCCACAGGTATAAAGGACACAAATATGTACAATAACATTACTTAATGAGTAAATCTATATTTATATTTGATTATACGTGATAGTTTTTACATTAAATTTTAAGAAAATATTAAATTCTTGCACAACTAATATTTTTTACAATTATAAATTACAGCTCGCAAAATTAAAATTTATTATTGTTTTTAAAAGTTTGGCTCGCGTTTTTGACCCATCTTGCCCACGATTTTACTAAATTTAAACTTCGGCCCACCCCCTGTAGGCAAATTAATTAATACTTAAAGATGTAGGCGAGATTCCGTTTGTGACACAATTTGGGTATCGAATCTTTTCACAAAGCAATTTCATTATATATTGTAGAGCCAGCAGCATGTCTGAATTTTACATTTCTATTGGCCGAAACAAACCGGCCTTGAACTAGAACTGGTTCAGTAGAACAGTTTATGGACTTGATCTGGTCTTTTTAACCAAGACGGACTGTAGCATCCCCTCAATTGACTTCATTTAATATTGTATTCTCGCATATCATACCGATATTATAATTAAGTATTGGTACAATAATTACGTACGAAATGTTGTAACCATTGTTGTTTAGAGTTAA